GGGCTCGTAGAATCAGCTTGCCAGCTCGGTTCTGCAACCTTTGCAATTTCCCCAACTCACGTTCGGGCGCAGCGTCCCAGACAGTGCAGGCATATATAATATGTGGCAAAAATATAGTTTTATACAAAGTTAACAGAGTAGATGTTGGAAGGAATGTGCGGACGTGCTTTAAAATGCTGAGTGATCGCCTGAGTTTGCCCAAGACGGCATTTATTTGACACTTCCAGTTGAGATTACGATCAATTGACACACCTAAGTATTTGTAAAAGGTACATTCCGTTACAGTTGCCCCATTGATATACACTTCAGGGCTTCTGCAACTGTTAACCCTTTTATCTGTTCCAATAAGCATGAGTTTGCATTTACCACTGTTTACGGATAACGAATTAGCTGTGAACCACTGAGAAAGAGTATTTAGATCATTTTGGAGGTTGTACTCAATATCGCTAACATCCTTGCTGCTATAGTAGATGACAGTGTCGTCCGCATACATTGATATTTCACAAGATTCGGCGCAATTTGGCATGTCATTAACATAAATTAAAAACAACAACGGGCCCAATAATGAGCCTTGGGGTACACCATATTGCATTTTATGGAAACCAGAGGTAACTCCATTAATGGCAGTACAGTGCTGTCTGCTAGATAAGTAAGATGTAAACCAATCAAGTGCTTCACCTTGTATGCCATAGCAAAACAACTTTTGAAGAAGAATGGTATGGTCGAGCGTATCAAACGCTTTGGAGAGGTCAATAAAGACCGCCCCTGTCAGCTGACCAGTGTTCATGGCATTAAACCACTTCTCTGTGAGTAGGTGAGCCGCAGATTGTGTGGAATGGCCTGGCCTAAACCCAGACTGGGCCTCTGTAAGAATACTGTTTACTGACAAATAGTTGTACAGTTGAGTATGTACCGCCCTTTCCACTATCTTTGAGACAGCAGGTAGTATGCTGACAGGTCTATAGTTATTTGGCGCAGCTCTATCCCCTGCTTTGTGTATAGGCGATAGGCGTGCCTTCTTCCAGTCCTCTGGGAACTCACTTCTGAGCAGCGATTCATTGAATATTTTCGTCAGAGAGGGTGCGATGATCTCGGCTGCTGACTTGAGCAGTCTGTTGTTCAGGTGATCTAGACCCACAGCTTTGTCCGTTTTCAGGGTAAGGAGACATTCTAAAAAGATCTTGCAGTCTGTCTGGTTTCTTTGGGAGCCTACTTCTAAGGGAAAAAAAGAGGGGACGGGGGCAGAGTCACTTACTACAATCTGGGTCTGTGACACTGACCTGCATGATATAACGTATTGCGAAGGACCATGTGTAATTTTATAAAATAGAATTCCGTAAAAACCTAATTGCTAACATTAGTGCCTGTCTTCAAAGCTTAAAAGTGGGATTTTCTTGCCGACGATAAATAAGTGATGCAATGGTTTTATAATTATATTCGGACACTTGAATGTCAAGAATATGCTGTATACTAGAGTACAGTTATGATACGTTTACGCACGTAAACCTACACGGCTCTTATATTGTATCGGTGCACTGATACACCCAAAGTCAACATAAGGGTCACAGCTCAGAAATGTTTAATTTGGTGCACACAGGTATACATGTATATGCGAACAGTATTACACGCCTGGGGGAAGCTGTGCTAGGTATGGTACATACATTGACCTTTGTAAGCTCGCCTTGACATATATAAATCACCTTTAGGCCATGACCAGATGGAATTGCAGTAAATAACCTCTCCTCACCCCCATCAAACTCCTTTCAAGCCGTACCCGGAAATTCAAGCCGTACCCGCTCAAAAATTCTAGCCGTACCCGGAAATTCGCGCCGTACCCGCGAAAATTTCAAGCCGTACCCGGTAATTCGGTATACCCTGTACTTTTTCGCCGTACCCAATGGCGGGTATCGCTCAGCCCCGGTGCGTAGTCACTCGGAAGTCGTGTCTAAATACCCTGTACACGATACACAACCTCATATAGCCTATGCTCTGGTAAATATTCCTGGCCACCTATCTGCCGAATGACGTCTTACAAAGCGCCCTGAGCGATATCAGCCATTGGGTACGGCGAAAAAGTACAGGGTACGGCACGAATTACCGGGTACGGCTTGAAATTTTCGCGGGTACGGCACGAATTTCCGGGTACGGCCAGAATTTTTGAGCGGGTACGGCTTGAATTTCCGGGTACGGCTTGAAAGGAGTTTGCTTGGGTATCTACCGTGTGTGTTAGGCCAATGATTTGAAGAGATGGATGACATCCTCTGGGACAACAAAACTGATGCGAGCGTCTGAGTAAAAAACGTTTGGCAAAAATTATTGAATCATTTCAAAATCTACGTAGGGTTGAAAAATGATTAATCACAACGAGAATGGCATAACGAATAGTAGACTCTTTATTTTCATTTCTTCGCATTTTCTTCTCTGCCTTTGAAACAGAGTTTGGCATTTTACAACATTTTTCAGATGCTTTTTACGATTTACGGTATGGTCAAAACTTTTTTTGTAATTTTGCAAACGAACAAAATCATGCTTTTTTATTGGTTTTTGTATTGGTAAAAAGCGAATTCCATCCACATAATGAAACTAGCACGGCCTAAATTCGAAGATGGATAAAGCGTCTGATTAAAAAAACGTTTGTATTGGCAAACATTATTGAATCATTTCAAAATCTACGTGGTTATGAGGGTTGAAAAATGATTAATCACAAGGAGTATAGTATGGCGAATAGTAAACCCTTCTTTTTTTGGAATGTCGGCCGACTCGGACCATTACCAACTCGCCACAGACAACTCGGCCCATCCACCTGGTCAACTCGGCCCAATACCGGAGACAGTGATTTAGGCAGAAACACGCGCACACATAATCGGTACAACAGTCACATAATTATCGCCATTGCACTAAACCTTCATTATTTTTTTAACGGACAGAAATTCGAGCTTGCTTTTCTTTTAATCATCTTACTCTCCAGTAAAAAAACAGCATGGCCTAAATTCGATCATGAGGATACAGTCTGGGTCAGAGAGACAGATTATGATTGGAAAGTGTGCGGGCGTTCAGCGTGGTTTTCCCTGGTATCAAATTGAAAGAAATGCATCAGGCAGTCATCCATAACCCCCGAAACCCATTAAATTCTATTTCCGGCTGATGGGCAATGATTGGCTCCTAATATCTCATTCTTTTTCCTCCCAGAGATATGTATTGGCATGCATCGCATGTAGGCACGCTCTTTTGCTGATTTCATTGTTGTCGTTTTTTTTCAACTAAAAGGAAGGACTTTATATGTTTTTCTTTCTTTAGTTACTCGACAAAAGTAAGGAACTTTCGTGTGGTCTACAGCACAATGTACAAGTAAGACTGAACAAAGTACATTGTATGGATAGTCATCCTACTTATATGTATGTGATAAACTACGTACAAAAAAATTAGATATACTAAGTATAACTAGTCTTTAACAAGCAGTCTTTAAGATATAATTGCATACTGTATGGGTTATATCCTCTTAAAATATATTAGAATTTATTGATATGACCTAAAGTGTTGAAATCAGTTGAACAATCGGAAAGAAAATTAAGCAATGGGCGCTTATCATTATATTGTGAATAATCCATTATAAAATTGCGCCCATTTTCAATCATATGTATTGACAAAATATTTGTAATATTTAAATATAGAAATATTTATTTCAAAAAAGGCTGCTTGAATATGACTGAAATTGACCAGAATACTTCATTACAACTTGTTGTTACATGAACTTCGTTTTTTGTTTAGAATCTGCATTTTAATGGTATTATGTATAGGAGCTCAGGACTCAATCAGAATAAAAATCAGTCCAATATTGTACAGGAGCTCAGGATTATTATCATAGCCTACGATATTTTGGTAACAGACAGCAAACAGTCTACTGGCAATAATTGGTCTATGTCTGCACATATGCAGTCATCAACAGGGATTACTACAGTCTACATGTCAGATCGTTTTGTACTAATGGCATCACCCGTCTGAAATATCACTGTGCTTTATGAACACTTTAAAGGAAGCTTAATTCAAGGTCAGTACAGACCCTGGAGTAAACGGTTGAAATGGTTAAAGTTGTCTTTCGGGTATATATTCAGTATGAGTGAACTCAGCCCCAAACACTTTTGTTGTGGATTAACATGTTCCTGTGATATTTGTGTGTCTAAGGTCAAACAATTATGGAGTGCAAAACAATGGCATAAGATCCGCATGGGATACGTTAATTGGTAAAAGGAGTTTGGAGATTTTATCCCCGGGAAGTATTTTCGTAACTTTATTGCAAGCGTGCAGGGGGTTGTATGACGTAATTTAATCGGGTATTGGGTGGTAGGCTACCGTTCGACTGCGCCAGCTGTATGTTTCAAACTGTTGAAAACAATCAGGAGTAGACGGGAGGTTAGGCCATGGTGTGGGACTGGTTGGCTGAAGGTAGGGTCTAGGCAAGCAGTGGACCTGGTTGGCATTCAAAATTAACTCAGATTCAACTGAAATGTGATTTGTATCAAAAAGCAGGAGCGGTCTAAACCTGATCAGGATGCCCCCAACATACCGGCTGGTCTATAATCGGGAAAGATTTTGAATGTGCGACAGAGGATTTAGGGGAAATATGAAGCGATTTGTCAGGCCATAGCTGATTGGACGTTGATTGGACGAACGTGGTGACTGTGCTGAACGCTATTATACCTGCTACAAGCTTTTAAACTCCTTTTCAGTTAACAAAAAATTCTGATTCTTACTCAAACCTTTATACTTAATACCCAACGATTTACAGTTGCCTAATGATTTATATTGCCGTTAGTCTTGTATATACGAACGCTCATTTGTTGTTTTGTCATCTTCATACTTGTAATTTGTATTCTATGTCAGGGGTGTGATTAATATTAGCTTATATTCGGCTAGAGTTTCCACCTCTGTGTCTTGTACCATGTCTTGTACTTTGTTGTTTCAATAAATAAATAAAAAATAAATAAAAAACTCCTTTTCAGTGAACGCGAACCTGAGACAAGACATCCTCCGTAAGTACGACAAGAACGTCCGCCCAGTGAGGAACTTCAGCCGACCCACCGAGGTGCGCATGGATGTATCACTCCGCCAGATACTCGGGCTGGTAGGTGACGCTTTACTCACTCAAATATTTATTTATGTTTTATTGTTTGTTTGCACATTAACAAAACAGACAATAATAAAATACAAAACAAGGATAAAACAGGTGCAGGAGGAGGGGAGAAGCATGGCATGCTTATACTAGGCCCTCCTCCTCTAAACTATACAAAAAAATATAATCAATAAATGGAAATAATACAATAGAAAATGGAAATAATACAATAAGGATAATCAAATAATGTACGGTATAAGTTAATGACTATGAAATAAAGTAATGTAAATTACAAATACAGAGCAATAATGATAATGATAATAATTGGTATGAGTTCATGATAGTTCCAATAAAATAGTTCCAACCTTGTCTGCATCAGTTTTCAAATTGAAGGAACGCGTAGAACGCCAGAAAATCGCTAGGGAACTGTTTGCAATATTTTACTGATCTACGATTACGGAGGTCAGTCATAATTTGTGGCCTTGTGGCCGCAAATTCCACCATGAATACTGTTATGCAATACAACTGATATTAATATTACATATTGTATTGCGGCCCAATTTCAAAATTACTTTCTTGAACTGCAATCCTCTTGCCATTTGTTTCGACAGTCCTAATCAATTTCTAGTTATTAAAACACCCCCTATCTGCTTTGTAGACAAGGGATTTTGAAGATTGTGCAATTTCTTAATTCCATAAGTTATTGCCTAATTTCACTATGTTGAAGCAGATGTATTAAGATTCAGTTATTTGAATCAAGCTAATGAATGAGCCCAAATCCCCCACAAGACAGACCATAATTTAAGAAAGCTGTTTATATATTCTCATCGATTACATCTATTTGCTGAAATATTTCTTCTTTGATAATTTCTGAAGGGTATGAGGTGTTTTGGGTGGCTGAGTTTTGGGTTAATGGCCCTACTTGTCCTAATTGCTTCGGTTGCATGGTGGGTGGGAGGTGATTTTGACAATTGATTGATACAGAGGTTACCTCTTAAAGTGATCCAGCAGGTTGTACCTAGAGGTAGTAAGTTGGTAGTGTGTGGGGGAGTTCATGAAGTGGTGTAATTCTTATACTATCATGAAAGTTTATCTGTGTTGGTAGTTACATGTTTAAAGTTAAAACTTTTGGTCCAACACAAAAAGTTCTCTCACTTAGAGCTTTCGACCAGTCACTCTGGTCTTCCTCAGTAGACTGACCTAGTGAAGCTTGTCACGTGGCTTCTTTGAAGTGTGACCATCACCCTACATCTTTGAAGGGCCCATCGACCTACATTGAACCGCGACGGGGGCCGACATCGTCTACCAGATACCTTTGATCCAGTGTTGACGTCACACTTCAAAGAAGCCACGTGACAAGCTTCACTGGCTCAGTCTACTGAGGAAGACCAGAGTGACTGGTCGAAAGCTCTAGGTGAGAAAATTTTTTGTGTTGGACCAAAAGTTTTAACATTAAACTGGTGTAATTTTTGTCCGTCCCTTGTGGTCGAGGATGACCAATGTCTTGGTTCACTTCTGGTGGGTCCGGAGATTGCTGATAAAGCCAACCGATTGAATAAAAAAAAAAAAAACTTCTACGTTTACAGTGCATTAACGAAAACTAAAAAAATCGTTGAGGTTTGTAATCTAGAAATCCAAGATATTTGGAATTCCCAGAACTCTAAAAACTCTGATTTTGTTACAGGCTGAAAGAGAGCAGGTCTTGACGTCACTTCTATGGATACGTATGGTAAGTGCGTGTAAAGTTTTGGCAGTAATCGTATATTTCTGGCTATGGATGTAGAAGGAAATGTGCACATGTAATGCTTTCTGTCCTTTCTGTCTCTCTTGTACGCATCCCAGATGTGTACTACTGGGGTCGGTGTCTCCAAATGGACCTTCGCAGAAAACATATAAAGACTCTAATGTAACGGCATAATTTATAAACCTGGATTTTATTACCACTTGATTGTACCTAAAATCACCAATGTTACATCGAAATGATGCTTCATAGTTCCTCAGTAATGTACAAGGTTGGAAGGTTGTAACATTAAGGACATAAAGCATCTTGCGTGTTGGGACAAATAATGACACAATTTCAGCACTGCAAAGAAAAAAAGGGTTTGGCAATACCAGGTTAGTCTGGTAATGGCTGCTTTAGGTCATAAACGGTGCCTACTGTGGCCCACAGGTACAACGTTTTTTTAACGCTTTTGGCCATAAACAGCGAGTACGGTGGCCCACAGGTACAACGCATTTTAACACTGTTGAAGCATAACACCTACTGACTTCATTGACAAATGTTCATACTCCAGTATTGGACAGATGAATATCTGTCGTGGGATCCGGATCAGTACGACGAGCTCGACGTCATCCGGATTCCGTCAGGAGACATCTGGCTGCCGGACATCTTTCTCTACAACAAGTAAGAATTTCTATGATTCAGTTTATGTGATCACTTTTTGTTATGTTTACTTATGTTTACCTTTCAGGAATGGAAACATATTGTTTCAACCGGTTCTTGAGTTATCCTCTTTTAAATATTTTCGAACAGATAGCCCTGCAGTTCCAGAGCAAGCCGCTAGGGGGCCCAAACTCACGTCACTTCTAGCTACCTATCCAAATTTCGTCACCCAAGCATGTCTAGATCATGAGATATCAAAACCGGAAGTTCAATGCAGTACCATAACAAGCAGCTAGGGGGTCCAAAATCTAATCATTTCCAGGTCTCATCAATACCTACCCACCTACCAAGTATCAAGACAATCCATTTAAGCCTTCTCAAGTTGTCGTGTCCCGTGACGGACACACACACACTTACACATTTTTGTAACTTGCCTGTGCACCCTACTATAACTTTTACAGCGTCGAACCTTCTCACTCTGGGCTACTTAACTGTAGAAATCCCCATAGGGCGAAAACTGTGTTCTTCCACCATAGAATTAACCATTCTATTCTCCGGATCTCCTCCCTCCGTTTTACCCCAGTGCTGATGTCTGGCAGACGGGAGAGCTGGCGACCAACACTGACGTCAGCGTCACATCCGACGGTGACGTCACCTGGTTACAGCCAATCACAGCCCGGACCTCCTGTAAAGTTCACACTGGGCTCTTCCCATTTGATAATCAGGTAAAACAATGTTCGGTTATGAGTGACTGACTACACAATGGTGAATGAATATTATTTGTACGTTTTTGATCTCACAATATTAGTACTGCTCAAGCTTAGAAAGTAATTCTACGCAGTATGTATATAGGTTAAAGGTGTCAATTCTTTTGACAACTGCAAACGTATGAAACATAGGGGCTTATTATTATAATAAGTGAGTTATATAAGTGCATAAGAAATATAATGTTATTTGAATATCTACACTTTATACAATTTAAGAGGACAGATTTCTTATTACTGTGTAAATTTCTACCTTTTCTATTGCTCATTATTGGTGTATCGGTGTATTGGTTATCTTAACATTGCACATTTCTTGAAGGAGTAACTAGCGTGTTATTTTCCAGGTTTGTGACCTCTTGTTAGGCTCCTGGTCCTACGACGGTACCGAGATCGACCTGTACAACACGTCCGAGTCTGGAGACATCAGCAGTTTTGTAGTAAACGGCGAGTGGGACCTCCTCACAGTTAAGGCTCAACGAGAGCTCAACTACTACTCGTGCTGCCCCGAGCCTTGGCCCAACTTGCGGTACTTAGTGGCACTGCAGCGACGAGCGGACTACTATCTGTTCACGTTTGTTCTGCCTTGTATGGCGTCGATATTTGTGGTACTTGGAGGTTTCTTTTTACCGACCAATGCTGCGGTCCGTATCCAGCTGAATGTGACAGTTCTCCTGGCGCTGACTGTGTTCCTGATGATGGTTCAGGAGTCCATGCCAACTTCGTCTGGGGACGTGTCAGTCATAGGTAAGGAAAGAGCAAGGACAGTTTTACCTTCGTTTAAATCTGTTTTTATGTTTACCGAAGGAATATTGTTTTTACTACGTTTCTTCTTCTTCTGTTCCAAACACTGACCTCTGACCTGGCCAACGACATGATTTGTTGATGTCTGTCATCATGGGAACTGGTGTTGGGTTACATAATGTTGTTCCTTCTGTATTTTCTGTCTTCGAAAAGAACTACCACCAGACAGAAACAAGCATTAATAACAGTACTCAGGCCTCATACTGCATGGGTACGTTTTGGACAAGTAACAATAATCTTTATATCGCAATACCATTTTTTTCCATTTCTGTCTTGCTGAACAACACCCTGCCAAAATACGAGCACATGGTATTATTAAAAATATTAATATATAACTACACAAAAAATACTTTTGTGCCATTGGGAAAGGCACTTTACACGACTTTCCTCACTTAGCTCAGGTGTAAATGAGTATTGTCCTGTCATGTATTTGTCCCCTGTGTTGGTGGCGGCATTATTAATATAAGTTGAAAAAAAACTTGAATGTGTCGTCACCACGTCTGGTGATTACATGTTGGAATAAGAAATAAATAAAATTTCCTTATTGCATAGGATTACTGTATTAAAATCGCGCCCGTGTGTTTCAGGTGAGATCTACACAACTGCCATCGCCATTGTCGGCCTTAGTACCTTAGCCACCGTGCTTGTCATCAACCTCAGCGAGAACGATCGCCCTGTCCCGGCTTGGATCGCGCGGTATTTCTCCGACAATCCTCCGAAAAAAGTCGGTGACCACGGCGGTTCTCACGGTGACCATCATGCGCAGGCGCAATCAAACGGTTACGACAACGAGGCTTGTGGTCACGTGACGCACGGTAAGGATTATGGGAACGATGCCTCGCCGCCATGTTGTCGCCGATGCGACAATTTGAGGAAATTATTGGGTACGATGGAAAAACACTACTCGAATAATGCTAAAGAAAATCTCAGACGCAAAACTTGGAAACGTGTAGCCTTGCTGGTCAATTATCTTTTGTTGTTTCTTATGTTTGTTGGTACTATCACTGCAGTGATATTCATTTTCTATCCTGTCATTATGAAAGGTAATTAATATCTTCTAAAGGATCACCATCTCCATGAATATGCTCAACAGATTGTTACGCCATCAAAAGTTGATGTTCCTGGGACACAAATAACAGAAAGTGTACCAAAACGATAGCCTCTACCAGGCTTCGGAAGGCGCCTGGAAAGAATAGAATTCGGCAAAATAGAGAGATAAGAAGTCAAGAGAGTTGGGTGCATCTGCCTGAACGACATTTTGGGTAGTCTTTCTCTTGAAGCACCATCTTGCGACAACCTGCAGTACTGTACATTCAGATCGACGCATCTATCTGATGTACCAAAATGCAGACCAGCACCCCCATCAAACTCCTTTCAAGCCGTACCCAGAAATTCAAGCCGTACCCGCTCAAAAATTCTGGCCGTACCCGGAAATTCGTGCCGTAACGTTCTGTATCGTTGCCGTACAGGGTATTTAGATACGACTTCCGAGTGACTAAGCACCGGGGCTGAGCGATATCCGCCATTGGCTACGGCAAAAAAGTACAGGGTACGGCACGAATTACTGGGTACGGCTTGAAATTTTCGCGGGTACGGCACGAATTTTAGGGTACGGCCAGAATTTTTGAGCGGGTACGGCTTGAAAGGAGTTTGATGGGGGTAGCGAGGGGCATTTTCTGTATACCTTGTCACAGGAACGCGGATTCCCCTATCTAACAACAATGCTGCAAAAAACAAATTTGTTACGAAAGAACATACACTACGTAAATCCACATAGAAATATCAAACAAAAAATAGGTCCTACCGAAGTGGCTTAAGTTAAACAGTCGTTTTATAACAGGCAGACTGTACTACAATGTATGTTAACGCGAAGTAAGGCCACAGCAAGTAAATTTTATGGATGACATCCTCTGCAGACTCCAAATCTAATGCGAGCGAGCGAAAAAAAACAAGGCGGGCCGAAAAAAACAAGGTACTTACATTTTAAAATTTTGACTCAATCATTGTAAAAATGGTTTTGATTCAGTTGGAACATCACATATACACAGCCAGCATCACATATCACTGCATCAAAGTAAGAAACAAAACATTAAATCAGAGCCTTTTCTTGTCTCCTCTCTTCATATTTATCTGCCATCCACGTTCCGGCATGGCAGCAGACATCTTTGCCCATTTTCGGCATGGTGACCACTGTCAGAAGGCAACAAAATTTCTTGTTTTTTTTCCAAAATCAAGGGAAAATTAATGCGCGCGCTGATGTCATCCATAAAAATTACTTACTGTGGCCTAAATTCCGTAAAAACTGTTAGAATAAAATATGCCTTCTGACGTATGAACACAATAGAATCGCACTGTGCCTGTCTTGTTTGTGATGACCACAATATATCGCATGTAAAAAAAATTCTCTGAAATCTATTGAATAGTTAATTATCATGTATAAAAATTAAGTGCCTAATATTGTGCATTGTGTTATTTTATAGTACGTATATACAACACAAAAAGATGTAACGTTGGAAAAACACTACTTAGCTTACTTAGCATGAGGTCCGGTGATATTCGTCTTAGGTAATCGTGTAATTTTGGAATCCGTAGAATTTTCAAGCAGGTTGCGACAGATCTAACTAGAAACAAGAACCTAAAACAGCTTTTTTTCGTAACAAGACAGCTTAAATTCACATGATAAATGAGCAACTTATTTCAAGAATTTCCTTAGTTTTCTGAGCTTACGACGTAAGCATGTGATCAGTCATTCCGTATGCAAAATCTGTACTTAGTGCCTAAGATATAGTAGTACTACATAAAGCCTTATACATGCCGCAATTATTTAGACTATGTATACTTCATCAATGTTTCTCGAAGTAAGGCCATGTTGATTTGAATGATATCCACGAGCGTCCGTTTCTAAATAAAACTGTTCTTGACCATACTGTAGTCTACGTACAAAGCGGCTGCAAAAATCACCAAATATATGCAGTAAGTTGAAAAAAAAAGAAATCGAAAATTCCGTACAATGCTAAAACGAATTCAAAAGAAAAACTGAAGAAATGGAAATGAAGTGTCTGTTATTCCCAACACTATACTCAATGTGTTTAGTCATTTATTCAACCTTCCATGAAGATTTAATTATCAGCCATCTATTTTTTTGACAAACTTTATCTAATTTATTCGCACGCTCGCATCATTTTTTTGGTTCCAGGAGGATGTCACCAATATAAATAAATCAGCATGACCTTACATAACTACAAATTGCCCAGACTAGATTGACTTTCAGAGAATTCTAGTTGTTGTTAGTTTCCATGTCAAAGACCATGCCTTTCCTGGACTTACGATTACTCCAAAGAATGTTAGAATAGATGAATACCTACACATTTACTAGAGAAACGCGTCTATTTCAAGGTCCACAAGTTAGGTCATTTTAATGACAATGACAATGAACTTTATTGCATGTTCACGCCCTACACGGGCCAAATGCACTTAAGTTAAATAACTTGGTAACAGCAATTATTACATTCGTGTGCTATTTCTCTATCTACAGGATCTAACTACAGGATCTCCTCTCTCTTTTTGAAACATGTATGAACAAATTTACATAGTTTTTCAATTATGTCATAGCGCTTGGATGTCATAATATGTTTGAACAATTCTATTTTCGGCAAGTATGCAAATTTCTTTTCTAACTGCAAGGAGCTAATAAAAGATTTCCGGATGTCATTGTATACCGCACATTCTAAAAAAAAAGTGCTTCATCCTCTATACAGTTATAGTTAATGTATAAACGTATTAACCGCGCCCGAACACAGGATGAATGTGGAGTTGTAATTATGTAGTATTCCGCATCGCGGCGCTAACCCTTCATTCTTTTACGGATAGATGAAAGCATAGCATGTACGTGATACATTTTCTAGTGGTCTTACTGTAACAAATATATATGAACTATTTATATGCCTTACACCACAAAACCTTCTCTGAGAAACTAGTGAATACTTCTTTGGAGTTCAAAACGGAGCGTTGTCAAAATATCGGTCAGATTTCATGTAACAGCAGAGTATATATTTAGAAAGATAGTCTGACTGAGCAGACAATAGAGGTAAAAATGGGATATAGATCACCTACACGTGACTTCACTTGACCCTGACCTGTCTCTTTCAGATGTAGTCATGTAAGAATTCATTCGGAACAAAGAAGTATTGTCATTACTTACAGCTACAGGGTAGTAGAGAAGTATGTGGTGTATGTTTGAAGATGATTTTTAATAAAACCTAGCGTTTTGTTATTGAATATTTGTCTTTTTATATTCTTCTTTTGAGTCACAACTGAATAAAATTGAGCATATATGTTTTTAATCCTTTTAATTTTGTAGTAATTTTTGTATTGTGAAAATAAAGTTACAAATGTATAGTTTGCACTGTCACTAGCCGTAACTGTTATTTGAAGTCTGTTTTATCATGTATATATCTGATAACGTTATGTACATGGTACTTAGCACTCCTGTCTGTAGTTTTATGTTTGGGATGATATATCGTATGGATAAGAAAAAAAATACAACGTCAACCAAACATTTGAAATAAAACGTTAAAAATCCGGGTTTTACACAGGCGCAGTAGGGTCTGTCGATGCGCTTACCCATAGTGCCCCGCGTTTCCCAGCATGCATTTGGACCCCTGGAAAGATCTGTACATATCCCCAAAACATGACGTGGCAAGCACGCAGTTTCGGCAGTTTACTGTGCACTATTTGGAACCCTGGTCAAATATAAACTCCGACCTGGAACCAAAACTGTATCTTGTTAATATTCTGTATCCTGTTAATATAACCAAAATAAGACACAGGCTAGAAGAGAGTTGTGATCAGCCTTATCTATTCTCAATAAATACAATACAAATGTACATGGCTCCAAATGTACGTATGTATACAATAACAATAGTATCTCTTTGTGTGAGTTATAACGTTGTATAAATACATAAATATACAATGTCTTTTAGACAATCAATAAAGAAATAAAGTATTTACTGTACAGAGTTGCAAATAAAGCGATCCGCCAAATTGACGGAGGGTTACTGAGATATCCACTCAAACTTAGGTATGACACTGTCTCTTTTTACTTTACCTCAACAAGAAGAAATTTATACTATTAAACAGTCCAAGCCAGAGTGTCTATGGAAAAAAAAACTTTAACAATGTCTCTCTTATACAGTAAAAATGGCGGTTGCACTTTGTTGATAAAAGTGTTATAACATTAGTTTGTTATGCCTACCTAACTAATCCCCAAATAACTGGACTTTGTAACAATTTTATGTGCCAGAACCTTACTTCGCCACAATTTCCTTATAACTGTCAATTGCGTTAGCTCCATCGTTGATCCAATCAATATCTACGTGTGTGTTGTTAAATTGATTGCACCAAACTACTTTGTATAGCACGTCAGTAGAAAGTACTACGCCTTCTTGAAACCTGTAGTGTATTGTGCAAAATGTCTCGTTTCAGGTCGTTTTCGGGTATTTCTATGATGACATCCCGTCTGTAGTTTTCAAATATTGTGTTGAAGAATATATCATACTCAACGGGCAATATTCTGAAGAATTTTTGACCAATTATCCAACGAAAACCGTGAAAAAGTCCAGGTTTCGCGCAGGCGCAGTGCGTTTTGCAGATGAGTCATGCATTTTCTATCAACGTAGCCTCACTTTTTCTTTGAATGATAAATTAGACAAGCTCCTGGGTTTACGATGCAATCATTGCTATAAATATCACACCAGATAAATTAATAAATAAAGGTATAATAATACAAGGCATTGTTAACTTGGTGAGTCAACAAAAATGACTGTATATCTTTGCGGCAAGAGGTAACATCTATTGACAGTTGAAAATTATTGTTCAACTTTGTGTATATGCTATCACTATAGGAAAAATATGCTATCAGGTGTCTGCGTTTCCGGTACACAATGACATAAAAATCCCATAACAAAATGATAACAAATTATACACTATTATGAATTAGATTTTCTTTGTAAGAGACATCATTTTGTTACGCTTGAACCATTCAGTAAGAATAAAGCAAAATGATGTTTACAATACGTTTGCATGTGTTCAATACATTTGCATGCGTTCACCTGTATCGTACCCAGATCACTGTTGTGGCAAAGTACTCTGGGTACGATAATGAGAGTAGATAAGATAGTGACAGATTGACTTGAGTCATGTTATGTTTTTTAACGCCAGCGGGTTGAAATACCGCGCCAGATTGTTGTCTCTGAAAGGTGCCAGTTAAATTCTCATCAATCATATTTAGGATTTGACCTTTGACACCTTGGGTGGGGAGGGGGGGAGGTAGTACATGTATGTGCAAGGTCAAACGTGACTGACCTTGTTTATCAATTCTCTTTTGTTGATGAAATACGTTATGATTTTGTATTTTATACCGTAGCGAAAAGCAAAAAAAAAAAAAAATGTACCCACCAAAATCGAGTGAAAACTGAGAAATGCAAAATTATAATCACCACATTTGGGTACCAAATGTATTAAACAACCATATAACTATAAAACTGTTAGCCATTTTTTGTATTGGAGTTTATGAGTTTATGTTTATGTTTTGTACAGTTTTCATATCAAAAAGAGATGAAAGAATGCAATCTTGTTTTTTTAGCTTTTTGAAAAGACAGAATAACATGAAATAAATCGACCATATTGTGATAACAGTAGTTTTTGCCCTTTTAACCAGATGTATAAGTAAATTGGCGACAACCTAAAAAATCTCACGATATTACCTAAAAAACTAACAGAAGTTTCTAAAAGTGGACGGACTGCGTCAGGTAATTTGATATGAAATACTACTTGGTCATAATAGAAGCTGTGATGACACAATGAGAATAGATAACAAAAGCTATCAATCAAATTCACTTGCAATTACAGATAATTATTTCCGGCCAAAAAGATGCTAAATGGAGATACGAAATAACCTGATATATCATATAGAATAGTTCCTTTGTAGAGACCTGGTTAAATTTCTTTCCGTTCAAATGTTAAATTAATATTTTGCATCAAGGTAGTTTGCAAATGTTTTCTGTACATTGCGTATATTACACATTTATATTAGGGAATACTTAACGTTGCATTGGATGTGCGGCATCCCCACTATAAACAACTATAAGGTAAGTCCACAGTAGCCTGGGTACCATCCGGATTTTCGCTACGCAACGCTCGAAAAAATCAGCGTTGCGTAGCGAAAATCCGGATGGTACCCAGGCTAAGTCCACAGCACATTGCAGAAATTATATACTAGCTGGTTTCCTGATCTAATCCTGCTTAGTATTACTCTGATTTCACGTGAATCTAACATATTTGACCGGTTGCGCTAAGAGATCTCGGCGGGCGGATAGCACACTCAGTACCGAGGAGATCTCGGGAACTGACGGTAGGCTGGCACCAGGGTAGATGTGAACATGTGTCAGACAGAGGCTTGGCAGGGCAGAGTAAAGTGTAGCCTGGGGGCGACGTATTTAAGGGGAAGACTAGACAAAAATAGAAGCCAGAAGAAATGCCATTCTTAAAGAGTACGGCTGAGATCATAGTAGATCATGTCACAGCCCCATCTCCAACGTTAAAACTGCACAACTACAAACACGACTGGCGCTATTGCCGAGTACCTCTTGACAATAACAAGAACTTCTTTACCTATCTATACTGTGGAGGATTTGAGTCTTTAGAAAATCGTATAGACTAAACACCTTTGACATACAAACTAGATAGGCACGTACATTTGTTCAACATCTATCTGTAATAAAGTGTCTAGTGTTTAAAAAGGCGTTGTTGCCGCACATCAAAACCCGACTTAGGGACACCCCTAGGCAGCTTACGTCTCCATGGTGACGGACAACACCCGCTGTGCCCTGCTGGCGCCCTGCTGGGGCACTCATGAGATGTCCCATGGCGGTTTGACCCTTGACCCTACCTCGGGGCACCATCTTGTAATCTTGCAACCCTGTGTAAAGATACAGTAACTACATTAAATTTTTTTTTACAAAAAATACAGATTTTCGACATACTATAAACAACTATACAGGATATAAACATGTTGCAGTCTCATACGCTAAATAGCGCAGAGCGTTTAAGAACAATTGGTCGTGTTTAACGACCTATCGACTTTCAAGTCAGCCGTCAACAGTTTTAACGAGTGCCAAGACTCACTCTTAATTGGATTGTAAATTTTCTAGTTGGCTCTACTACTTTTCTTCACATTGCCTGTGCCGACATTGTCGACAACATCATGCTACAACATGTTTATATTTAAGTTGATACAGTGATAGAAATTACTGGTTGCTTCCAAACTTAAAAAAATTATCTTAATGTTAATATATTACAGTACTGCATTTACGTACAAATAGAAAAAGGATAAAATCTAGTCAGGATATCCAGAACGGATGTTTGCTTCATTTATCTTAGTTGACTATTGACTGATAAACTTTACTCATTGAATTGCCTTCTTAATGTGAAACGTTGCTTATTATCATTTTCGACGTTTATTTTGAGTCATAACACACTTCAATGCAGACGATAATGGCACTGGGTGCATATGTGACTGAAACACAAAACACACCAGTTCCCACTGACTTCGTTTCATTTCAATAAAAAAAATACCGATTAGCTTTTTGGTATTGATTGTCTTACAGGTCAAAACTTTTCACTTATAAGCTTAAACAGACACTGAAAGTATAGGTAGCACATGAATTCTTTCAAAGTGGTTATTATAATGGTGGATAGTTATCTTTTACATCATGAATCATTTGATCCTGGAATTCTGGCCCAATGCCAAATGCCTGTGACCTAACAATGTTTCCCGGGTCAAAGGAGGACACCGTACAGTAATAGATAAAAGTACACCTATTCATTTCAGGCTCCCTGAGGAATTTAAGTATCAAATGTATTTATTCGCAGTCAGCATTGTTCTATAAATAGCATTACAGTTTTACGGGGGTTATAGTTTTACAATACATACCTTCTTTTCTTTTTGAAATCCCGTTGGTTGAATGACAAAACTAAGCCATGGATTAAATACGCCAAATAACAGTTACTGAAGCGACTGGAGTTCACTAAAGACCTCTTTAGTGAAATGTCGTTTGGTGTATCTTATTACCTGGAGGTCTGATCTTTACTGACAAATTAAATAATTTATCCACCTACACAAAAGTAAAGAACACAAAGTTAAATGATTCTTTTGGAGACCATAACTCTCATGGCAATTAAAATCTACCATAGCCATTAGAAAACAATGGTATTTATGAATAGATATCATACAGACCTTGCTCTTGAAATAGTTACTTCTCAAGGGAACTAACTAAGATTTACTTGTCAAAAAAACAATTAATGAATTGACATACCATAATTGATGTTTTACAGTGGGACAGTTGTCTCTCGACGTATCTTCTTCCCCCAATGTCTTGTCTCTACAGGGTACATCCTCAGGTGTACGGGATTGCAGGTAGGGTACTGGTGAGGTCCATCAACACAAATCCGAATGAGGACCTCAAATTCTCCTCAGGTCTTTCTTTCCTTTGTATCTTTTGTACATCGTAGCAGCCAGTGCCAACACCAACGTGGGCTGTTGGAGCTTTCCCAACAAAGTTGCATGTTCTTAAGTATCCAACACGATTGTTGAAAGTGGTCTTTTCACCTCGCTCTCTTCAACCATTCAATTAAAGAGATAACTATTCAGGAGACAGGTAATAAGAAGTAAAATCTTTGGCAACAAGTGTTACGAACTGAGGTCGCTAGTCTAGTTGGAACCATGTCTGGATCTTCTATTAGTCTGTGTGTCAGGGGAGGCTAAGTCTGTCGGAGGATGATCTTGTCTACGTCTTATTCTTTTCTCCCTTGATCTCTGTCGTCTTCTTCTTCGCCTCCTTCTGCTCTTCCGACTCTCTTTGCTCGTTGGCCTTTGGTGTCTTCTTCTTTCTTTTCTTTCCTCGGCGTCCTCTGCGCTGCCTGATGCGGTAGTGGTCTCGCTTTTTCTCCCGTTGTTGTCATCAACGCTGTCCCCTGCCGCCTCTCCTACTTCCCCTCTCCCTTGCCCCTCCCCCTCTGCTTTTTCCTGCTCTGTAGTCAACATTTGCTTCCAGACATCACACATGGTAGGCTCCTCCTTAACAAAGTCTTTCTTTTTCAACGCGCAGTTGCATGAAGTACTAAGGAGGATGGACGCATGTCGGAGTTTCCCATTAGCCAATTCCACAATAGCAGGAACGACCGATTTCTTGGCCACACAAGACGACGTCCAATGAGTCTTGTCGATGCCTCTACACCCTTTTGATGTCTCAGATTCATGGCTAAGGTTGCATTTGGTTTCCGTGAAAAGCTGATGTATATACTCTCCGTCATTTAAGTCTCTAGTACTAAAGACGTCTATTACAGTGACATTTTGACCGGTTAGCTGGTCTTTTACTGGTTCGCTGAAGACCGCATATTCCTGGATTTCGTCACACACACTTTGTTCTTGCCCTGCCATGCGTTTGCTTCTCGCCCTACCCTGTAACGTTTTTCTAACCTCCTGATTCAAGTCTTGTCCATGAGAAGGATGTGATGTCTTTCGTCTGAACGACAAATGAGGGGACATAAATAACGGTGACGACACAAGGTCTGTGAAATTAAACATTTCTAAGGTGACAACTCTGTGAGGTGTTGGTCTCCCCACTTTGGGCTCCATCGAATCCTCTGGCAACAGTACGCTATCCCTCACGCGAGGGGAATAGTTCTCGAAGAGCTGACGGAGACCGCCTCTTCTCTCACGTATCTCAGTCCTTTTTCTCAAGTCGTCCAGGTTCCCGTCTAGAACGACGGCAGGTAGAGCTGTGCAGGAGGTGCAGATGAAGACTAGCACTATGTGGGGCACGATACACGATCTGATCAGACCCTGAAACACAAGAGAAAAGAATTTCAACTAGAGTTCGGGCGAGTTATCAGAGTTATAACAAGAAAAAACACAAACACAAAAGGTCAACTGCAGTGACGTAGGAACCCTCCACGAAACCCCTTGACAATGGCCACCCTAAAGACAACCTGCCTGCCAAAATCGTGAACCTGTGACCATTCCTTTAAGAGTTATCGTGCATTATCTGCCAAACAGTGCCGGGTTGCCAGTCGGAGCTTCTATTGCGTGCGGTCTACGTTTGATCAGAAAATACCCCCCCCCCAAAAAAAACGGCCGATTCGAGAACGCCTGAAAAGGAGGCTAGGATAGAGTGCTCTCTTTCAGAAGGTCACTAGTTCAAACCACGCACGTGTAAAAACAGTTTAAGAGATGATACATGCTATTTTCTCTGCTCAACTATAATGAGGGCCGATATACAAGCATCTACATGTATAAGCACGTCGGCAGAATGCACTACACCTTTGCGAAGCTAGTAGTGTATTGTGCATAGCACTTCGGCAGAAAGTCTCATGTAAGGTCATATTCGCGCATATAAGGTTAACATCCCGTCTGTAGTTTCCTAATATTGTGTCGGAGAAAAAAATCGCCTGCAACAGCGCGAGGCAGGCAAAGCTCTGATGCAACGTTGACCAAATACTCGAAGAAAACCGTGAAAAATTGGGATTTTTCTGCTGTATCTATACAGTGTACACACATAAAAGTTAAACGATAGATTGACAGATATTTTTATGGATATAGACTGGAACAATGGTAGTTATTGAAGCCACAACAACAGAAAGAACTAAAAGATCGATTCAACTCTGTATAGTTGCTGAAGACTACAATAATGTTTTCTACTGGTACCTTTGTTAGTTACTTGTAGGATAGCCCTAGGCGGAAAGGTTATACAAGTCTTAGACCTCACACAGTGATTCGCATGTATGGATGAAGACAACATTTACAGAACCCCAGGGGTATTATCATGAAAGTTCATCTGTGTTGGTAGTTACATGTTTAAAGTTAAAACTTTTGGTCCAACACAACAAATTCTCTCACATCCACATAGAGTCACCCGAACATTTTGTTTCACTTGACACTGTTAGGATTTTAGACACTGAACAATACCATTTCTTGAGAGGGGTGAAAGAAGCCATATACATCTGGGCCCATCACCCTACATTGAACCGCGAAGGGGGTCGACATCGTCTACCAGATACCTTTGACCCAGTGTCGACGTCACACTTCAAAGAAGCCACGTGACAAGCTCCACTGGGTCAGTCTACTGAGGAAGACCAGAGTGACTGGTCGAAAGCTCTAGGTGAGAGAATTTTTTTGTGTTGGACCAAAAGTTTTAACTTTAAACAGAACCCATGTATATTAAATTATCCCCATAAAAAGTTTGGAGGTTATTACAAAATAATATGGGAGTGATGCATAAATACATGTATGTATATATATAGAAGGATGCATAATTACTCATCATTACTAATATATTATCAATAGATATTATTAATAAATAATATTGATTAATAATATAGGTTATGTATTGATAGTATCAAGATTATCATCGGTATAGACAAGATAGATAGACAAAGAGATAAAGACATAGAGATAGACAAGCCTTGAAGGCTTTTAAACACCCAATACAATTCTAGGGTGGTCAAAGTTAGATGTACTGGATGAGGAAATCTTTCTAGTATTGATATTTACTGCAATTTCGTAGCGCATTTTGTCATCATGTCATACTCGACGCGTTTGAAATAGCAATGAAAAAAGCCACGTGTGGCGTCTATTTAATTTTAGAGCACCACCCATAAATAGCTACTAGCATATGATACAAAACAAGCAACTGTGACATTGCATTTTTGTCTTACATATGTCATTATGGTACGAGATAGGATTGTTTCAACCAAGGACATTATACACAGTGTATAATGTCCTTGATTGAAACAATGACAAGAAAACGGACTTTGTAAGTCCAGTTCCTTTAAAGGCATCCAATGCGATTTCAGAGCAGCAAAACTAGAAATATTCTGAAAAAGGCAATCTTTATGATATTAACTAATCGCCTCACATTAGCACATTTCCAACAGTATGTCATACTTTAGTTATTTAAAACTGCAGAAACAAGCCACAAGATGAGTCCTCCATTTTATGGGTGGTACCCTAAAAATCAGCCCAGGGCCCTTTTCAGTAACCATTTTCCATCCGAACTTTGGACATTTTTGCTCCATGAGGGTCAATTTACTTTGGGATAGTGTGGTTTCAACTCAGTATGTAGATAAGTGACTAGAATACTGAAAAATCGCGTTTCCAAGCCAAAAAAAACCTGCACTGGATGCCTTTAAAGTGGCAGTAAACATTCCCCAGTCTTGTGAGCTATGTTTGGTAACGGTTGACACACCTGCAGACGACAATTTGGCAATCTGCCAGTCAGCTGTCAATATTCATTAGTGTGTGAGAGGAGATTCCTGTCCTACTGATATGGCATGGAAAGGAACAGAGCTGTGTGTGTACTGAGCCTTGTTAAAGCTGTATAACGGTGACAATAAGCATGCAAAAGCTGTAGCAGTGACTCTCTATAAAAATAGTGCCAAATGTAAAAAAAAAGGATTGTCACAGAGAATGTTGATTCACAACGTGTGTATGTATGCAACCTCGCTTTTGAAATGCAATTCAATAAAAATAGCAAAAAATATTGCCTCTTGGGAAATATGTTGACTATAAATTCTATATTTTGCCTTGAAAGAAAGCCTTGGAAAAAAGTCCTTGGCGTTCTTGTACAAACAATAAGCCTTACGAGTAGCCTTCATGAAAAATGCATGACCGTGGCTCCATGTACCTGACAGCTAACAGAGACAGACATAGTGTAACATTACGTCTCACGTCAGGACTATAATCTAACGTTAACTCGGACGTAACATGATCTAGCCACATGCTGTGTTCTTACCCGGACATGAATTCTTTATCACTGAAAGACACAAACCTACTAGTCTGTCAAACTACGGGAGAACTAGCCCGGAAATAATCGAGAAGACAGCGTTACAAGTTGTTGTTACCTGCCCACCGCCCCTCCCCCTCTCCTCGTACGGTACGGCTTGCTCGCGTGGTGTCTAAACTACGCGGACGAGTCTTAAAAACAGCTCGGCACGTTGTTTACTGAATATTTGGCGTGCCAGCTAATAAAAAGTAGTAACCTTTGCGTAAACAACACACGGAGCCAATGCCTGGTAGCACTGGCGGCCTTTACAATGCACAGTATACGAAGAATGAAGATAGTCTGTAGAAGATAGTGAAACAATACCTTCAACATAGTTTCCGGTAGCCAACTCACTCAAGTAAGTAGATCACGTTGTAAGGACGCTTCTTTGGCGAGGTATGTGAAGATAGTGGCTCCAAAATACTTGTGGAGAGTGGGCTCGCCACGTGTGGAGCCTACGGCGAGGTTAGTCTTTCTCCGACTCAAAGAGTTCACCTCTACCACCCTAATGACTACCTGTACGGTCGACCTGCTCTCTCATAATAACTACCTCAGAACAAAAGCTCGGCTCACGTCACTCTTACCCCGGGTAGACGTTTATACAAATGAGGAGGTAATTCGTGCGGTGTTCGGTAGACGATGTCATCGCTATTCTTTGTATTATTAATGGGCTTCGACAAGGTTGATATACGAGAACACGAGATGACTCATGTTCGGGTACGTACGGGACTCACCGAGACATCCTGAGTGACTCGTCGGGAAGAGTGGCCATGTCTCCCGAAGAGACCTTATCGAGGATCCCCTGGGGGATTGTTACGGGCACAAATTATCTGGGTGTGTCTGTCGAAGAAGGGATGTTTAAACCCTTGTTATCTATGGGAAGTCAACTGAGTCGTTAAGAACATATTATTAGCACTAACGCAAATGTACTGGTCCTTAAGTACTATATATGAATACGTCAGTCACTGTACTACTGCATAAACTCAATGTAGACGACTAGAATTACGGTAGTGCGTTTTCTTTAGATCTTAATAACTTCTCGGACTGTCTGTCAAATAAGCTGGAGATTTAATAAGTAGCTCTATTCTAGAAAAGGAAAATATTGGCAAACATATATGGTGCAGATTTTTACCAAAACTACTATGCGCATTTAAATAATTAACTGCATAATAAATCTATTTTTGCTGAGTTTTATCGCATTCCTGAAACCACTGTTTTTCGGTCAGTGTAAAGTAATATTTTCCTCCAAAATCAACCATGACATTTTGCCCTATTGCGATTGAACCTTTAGAAACTCTGCAAGTTATCTAGTGGAATAGATGTAAGATAGCGACTTGATCATATTATCACAGGTAAATTTTAGCATCTAACTCAAAGGTTTCCAGCTCATCAAGAGCCCATTGCTCACAAGCTTGCTTGCTTTGGTGGAAAACGTCTTACGAGTACTTGTTGGATCCGGTCTCATACGTATTCGTCGTACGATTGTCGTAAGACCGATCAATCTTTAGATAACCATGCATGTTTTAGGCAAAATCAAGCTGCCTTATTATGGAAAACAATCTCCAAGAAGATCTTTAGGTAAGGGAAGACAGTATCAAATTTTCCAGCCTGTAACCAAATTGGCAAATTTGATACTGTCCTTCCCCCATCGAAAGATCTGCTTGGAGATTAGAAATCACTGTCTTCAGATCATTGTCGGAAGGAGTCTCTGTCACAGCGCACGAAGACGTAGAATGTTCACATATTGACTTATTAAGAAATAAGAACTGTAACAGTAGCAACTGAGCAATTCTTGTCATTAAAGATATGGTGTCTACATTTATGCTGTGGATCTGTAGATGTACCCTACCTAGTCTAAACATGGACACATATACATGTGTGAAATACGCAAAGAAAACAAGAGAACACAGAATTGAAAACAGACGACATTTAGGACCAATTATTTTCAACCCTAACTATGCCTGATCCAACCGGGACTAGTGGTATGTGCTTCACAAAATGCTTGAATGTCTAAGGTCTCGGT